CCTTACCTCCTCATGGAACTTTTCATTAGGTTGGTGTAGGGATGATGCATCCCCACAATGTTAAAATGTTTTTACCCTATTTTAAGAATAATAATTATAAGACAAACATATTTCTTCTATTGTTTACCCCAAGCCAGCCAGGCATTGATTTAGCAAAGTGGAGGACAAAATAAAGGATGAGAATGGGGAAAATCTTATAATCTTAATCCCAATCTGATACCCTGTATCTTTCAGTAGGTATATTTAATTGATGGCATGGAGAAGAGCTGAGAAAAGGTTGTCTCTTGTTGGGGCTGAAAAGGCACAAAATATTGATGGAGATGTAATTTCTAAGTCTCATTTTCTATGTTTTTCTTGTACATGTAGGTGTTTGGTTCGCCTTGTGTTGTCAAAAGTCATGGCAGAACCCAAAGAGAATAGGTGAGGCCATTTGCTAAACACATTTCTGTACAATTACTGTCCACTTAAAAAAGTATATATAGTTTTTATTTTCTTATCATGTGATTATGGGATTCAGTTATGTCAAGCTAAACACCAATTGACATAATTGAATAAGAACTTCAAGGAGTGGGCCCAGTGGCATCAAGTGTGACCATCTCTTCACCTTGTATAACTTTCCTCCAAGTACCTGCACTCCTCCCCCTCTCCTGTTAACTGGATGCCAGCATGATACTAAATCAGTCCTCAGTGGGGAATGTAGATCAGGCTGCTTCTCTGAGGTTGACATCTCCAGTTGACATTTGGAGGATGTGCCTGTCAAGAGCTCTGAGAACAGTGTGGTCTTCGCTGCCAGAGACCAAGCATTTTTCAACTCTGTGTTGAGTGCCCAAAAGCTCAGGAAAGGAATACTGTTGATGGTAGACCACGGGTCTCCTTGGAGTGGGCTCTGTCACTTTGCTATGCACCCAAGTTGGAGTTAGTACCATACAGCTTACTTCTGATATCGCAAGGAAACAAGGCTATGTAATTGAAACTTGGAAGTTGAGTCTGTGGCTTCCCTTCTGAAAATCTCCTCCTACAATACTCCTCCTTTGGGCCTACAAATCTACAGGTCATAACACTCTTACTACAGGCCTGCAACACTGCTACTCCAGGTCTTACAACACTATGGATTTTGAGTCTATATGCTTTTGACAAAAGCAGGAGTACTGTATCTGTAATTAGAGTTATTGTATTCTGTCATACCATATAAATTAATAAAGTGTTCTGTAAAACTGGATTTTTCTTCTACTCTAGGACTAAAGATATGGACACACTTGTGACTTACTTGACCTCAGGTACGTAGTTTACATAAGAATATAAGAATGGCCGTATTGCGTCAGACCAAAGGTCCATCTAGCCCGGTATCCTGTCTACCGATGGTGGCCAATGCCAGGTGCCCGAGAGGGAGTGAACCAACAGGCAATGATCAAGTGATCTCTCTCCTGCCATCCATCTCCACCCTCTGACAAACAGAGGCTAGGGACACCCTTCCTTACCCATCCTGGCTAATATCCATTAACAGACTTAACCTCCGTGAATTTATCCAGTTCTCTTTTAAATGCTGTTATAGTCCTAGCCTTCACAACCTCTTCAGGCAAGGAGTTCCACAAGTTGACTGTGCGCTGTGTTAAGAACTTCCTTTTATTAGTTTTAAACCTGCTGCCCATTAATATCATTTGGTGGCCCCTAGTTCTTGTATTATGGAAACAAGTAAATAACTTTTCCTTATCCACTTTCTCCACATCACTCATGATTTTATATACCTCTATCATATCCCCCCTTAGTCTCCTCTTTTCCAAGCTGAAAAGTCCCAGCCTCTTTAATCTCTCCTCATACGGGACCCGTTCCAAACCCCTAATCATTTTAGTTGCCCTCTTCTGAACCTTTTCTAGTGCCAGTATATCTTTTTTTAGATGAGGAGACCACATATGTACTCAGTATTCAAGATGTGGGCGTACCATGGATTTATACAAAGGCAATAAGATACTCTGTCTTATTTTCTATCCCCTTTTTAATGATTCCTAATCAGGGCCGGCTTTAGGCCAATTCCACCAATTCCCCCGAATGGGGCCCCGCGCCTAAGAGAGCCCCGTGTTGTACTTAAAGTACTGCACAGGATC